CTCTTGGGACAGCTTGAGGTTGTGAAAGGTGTTAAATGTAAGTTCTTTCTTTTTATACACAAACCTGAGAACTGATATAACAACATGAGTGGCACGACTCAGAGGAGGTTATTTTTCACTGTCAGAAGGCAAGGGCAACTTACTTCCCACAGTGCCCGACACAGTAGCCAGAAAACTTACAACATCCTGTCACTGATACAAACTGCAGAGAAATACAGGATTAGGTTTTGAGTGACATATAGAAGATTAGAATCTCTAAAGTGTGGAAACAGGCCCTTCGGCCCAACAAGTCCACACTGACCCTCAGAGCATCCCAACCAGACCCATCCCCCTATAACCCACCTAATCTACACATTCCTGAACACTACGGGCAATTTAGCATGGCAAATCCACCTAACCTGCACATCTTTGGACTGTGGGAGGAAACCGGAGCACCTGCAGGAAATTCATGCAGACACGGGGAGAATGTGCAAATTCCACACAGACAGTCACTTGAGGTTGGAATCGAACCTGGATCTCTGGCGCTGTGAGGGAGCAGTGCTAACCCCTGAGTCACTGTACCATGCCAGATGAAATGATGAAAGGGCTAAGGAAGTGGTCATGAGGCTAACAAATGAATAAAAACATGGGCTTAGAGGGCTTGTCAATGGCAACAGCAGTATCGCTGCCAGACCTACTGTTGGGTAGGAATATAAAATTAAGGCAGGTGAATGGAGTTGAAATAGTCAACATTTATGATCTAATTGAATGCTTGAGGGGCTGAATGGCCCACTGCTATTCCTATGTTCCTATGAGGATAACGGGTCTTTTAAAGAAACAGAAATGAAATTTGATATGAGCGCATTAATACTTGCATAATCATGGTGTTCTCAGTGATTTCCCAGTTGTAGTTTTTAAGAGGGATCTGGTTTGTTTATAGTTGCTGTGCACTGAACATCATGGTTTGATCACATTTCTTAGTGATGGAATATTTATTCCATGCTCTAGTTGTGCTCAAAATGGATTATCTCAATTAACAATCATGTCATTGTTTTAAAATTCCAGTTTTGAACTTATCAAAGCTGTGAACAGAGATCTTAAAAGATATTTTGCCTCTATTTTTGTGGTCATCCTTTTAAGACCCCTTAACGTACCCACACAGTAGAAAGCATCCCATAAGGTGCTGCATTTAAAATTTGCAAGGATTTTTAAGGAATTTGAGACATATAACTTCGATACACTTTTTTCCAAGGTTAGGGATTGTGTAAAGTTCAACAGTTACCTTTCTAGAGAAAAGGTGTTGGATCTAATTTTCCTTTGCTTTATGTAGGCACAAAAGAAGAGGAGGTAGACATTGCTATCCGGGCAGCTGCCTTTTTGTACTGTTTTGAGATTTCCTGGGGATTTCTCAGATGAGGAGCATTTATTGTCCATTCTGAGATGCCATGGAAATGGTGCTGATGAGGCACTTTTTGAACTATTGTAGTCTGTGTGCATAAAATACACTTACAGGCACCACCAGGCAGGAGGTTTCAGGATCTAGTAACAACGAAGGTCCCTGAGATATGCCGGGCAAGGACATCAATGCAAGTGAGTGGAAGGCCAGCCGAGGCTTCTGGCTGACTGAGTGGGTACAGTTTCAGAGGACATCCCTGAAGTCCTTGCACATTGCCCAGCTTGGAGTGGGCATTCAGAGAATGGCATGCAACCACTTGAACAAGAGTGAACAACAGGAACTGTTGCTGTTGCTAGAAGGAAGATACAGGTTGTCTAGCAGCTGTTTTTGGACATGGAAAAGTGAAGGCCTCTGCAAAGTCTCCAGTGGACCCAAACTATTGCCTTGAAGCATCAAATACAAATGGTTTCAAGTCAAATCGGGTACCCCCACCTGATCCATATACCATCAAAGCAGGGGGGAACGAGGACATCATTTTTAAAGTAACTCATTACCATCACTAAAACTTTCACTGTTGTAAGAAAAAAGCCTCTTTTTGACCTAGATGCAGGTTTCCTTCTACTTAATATGGATTAAATTAGAATGGGAAAAAAACATAAGTTCCATGCTTTGAATTTATGCTAAGCAATATTAATAATGAACATGGCAACACCTTGGTGCAAATTTATCCAACTAAGGTAAATCCTTTTAAATATATACAGGTTAATGTTTTTGTTAAAACAGTGAGCAAAAGAATATAATACAAATATGATTGTGACTAAAATGGCCCAGTGAGTATTCAACACACAGTGTGAAAAGCAACTTTAATAAGTTCAGTCAATACCTTTGGAATTGGTAGAGGAAAATTTGTCATGAGGTCTGGTAAAGCTGTTACACACATAATTAATGTCTCAACTGAAGATATATGGCATGATTTGAACTTTTACCGCTGCTTTTTCTTGCTTTAGTGGAAAATGTAGGTAGTCATTAAGCAAAGTATCACAGCATTGCTGTTGCATTTTTGAATGGAAAATACATTATTGCCAATGCCAATAGCACCCAGCCATTAAGAAGTGGAAAATCTAATTTGACGTGACTTGGGGTGTACAGCACATTGGGTCTCTAAATCAATCCAGTTACACGTTGTCCTGGTGCATGATTCTCAGGCCAAAATAACTAATGCCTGGTCTGGGCTACTAACAGTAAAAGAAGGAATGCTTGTGATGTGATACAGCAATATTGTGAGCTGAAACCTAATAGGTACAATTAAAGTTTCTTTTTTTTTGTTATGAGACTGTGTGATGTTTTAGCAATGAAATCTGAACAGCAGCTGATTCACAAAAGTGTGTGGCATTTGCATCACATTAACGAGATAGTGTTCATTGTTTCATGATTGTTAAATGCCTCAAGGTGTGGCATATAGGGATGTTGTTAATACCCTACATCATTGTTCAGGCTATTTAACGGCACTGACTGAACTAAGAAGGTCACACGGACTGCACCATAAACCTACTGGGACAGTGGGAAGAAACTTCTCCTGAGGTGTCCAACATGTGGTCAGCTGGCTGGAGAGCTGTTGAGAGATCCACACTACGTCTTCCAGGGAAATTCCCCATAAACTACCCACCACCAGGCTTTCCCTAAGTTAAGTCCCTGGGAAGATAATGGGGTGGAGGGGGAGCAGAAGTTCCTCCCAGTAGCAACTAGTGACCAATTCAAGCTTGGTAGTTCTTAGGTTTGGGTACACCATATAGAAGACTGTGGCTACTGCCGGAAGAGCACCCTCAGAGTTCCAGAATTATGGCAGCCTCAAGACAGGGATGAGTGAGATCAAGGGGAGTCGGAGTTTCTTGGTTTGAAGTTTGTGGGGATAGATGGAAGGGCATTCTGAAACAGCTACCCCCTTCCTCCAATGTTTAATCCCTTGATCAGACAGAGATTACCTACAATAAAAGGTTCTCCCAAAGTGTGATAAGCTGTTTGCATGGCTGCAATTGGTAATGCTGCATTAATCATGTGAACTTATAAATTATGAAGTGAGGTAGGCTGTTAGGCCCCTTGAACATACTCTGCCATCCAATAAGAACATGGCTGATCTGTTTGTTTCGAATTCCACATTCCTGTATACCCCAATAAGACTTTGATACCACTGCCTAGTAAAAATCTATCTACCTCTGCCTTAAAAGTATTCAATGATCCCACTTCCACACAGGTAGAGAGTTCCAAAGGCACACAATGCTCTCAGAGAAAATAAAATCTCTTCATGGTGGTCCAAAAGGGGTGACTCCTAATTTGAAATCCCCCAATTCTGAATTGACCTATGAGAGGAAACATCCTTCCTGCATCCAGCTTGTCAAGATCATTCAAAATCTTATACAGTTCAAATTGTTCTGAAAGCCAGTGGAAACAAGCCCAGCCTGTATAACCAATCCTCATTCTATGTATCAACTTAGTAAGCCTTCTCTGAACTGTCTCCAATGCATTTACATCTTTTCTTGAGTAAAGAGACCAAAACTGCTCACAGCAATTGAAATGTGGTCTTTCCAATGCTGTCTCTAGCTGAAGCATAACATCCTTACTTTTAGGTTTAATTCTTCTCACAATAAAGGGGATGGGATGCTATTAGCCTTCTTGATTGCATGCTGTCCCTGCATCCTAATATTTTGTGATTCATTTATTGGTACACCTGGGCTCTTGCAGGCTAGTTTGGAGTGAATTTGGATGGAGGTCTGAGGGCAGGTTTGAATACGTGAGGTTGGGAAAGTAGGAGAAAGCACCATCAGGATGGCTCTGGTCCACACGTGAGGGAATTTCACAATGAGAGGTTAAACAGTGATCACAAGCTAATAAAACCAAGCACAAAAAGTAGCACGTCCGCCTTCCCCTTCGCTCTGCCAGCTGTGACAATTTGGCTTTCTTTTTAAACATACCACTTGAAACTTTTGAGTGTCTGCAGTTTGAGGTGCCCTCTCAGTCTCCCTCAGCCTGAACTGTGCTTGTCTCTCCTAGTGAAGTTGCCAGGCAGAATTCCCATCAGATCGCTCTGGTGGGTAGGTCAGGCACTGGAATTTGCTCTGATGATCATGAATTTTGTACGTCTGGAAGATTCCAACCAATGTCGCTTGCAGTATGTTCTGCTCCTTTTATGGGTACGTGGTTCTTGGTGCAACTTTATCTCTATCTTTTTAAAAACAGTTTGAACACTGTGTAATGTTCCTGACTTGTATTTAATATGTAAATTTACAACCATAGCTGATCCAGCACAGCTGATTGCAGGATAAAGACTGCAAGTAAATTTGCATTTGTAAGTTGATTTAGGGTAGTGATGGCCGTGTAGTACTATCACCAGACTATTAATCCAGAAACCCTGGTAATGTTCTGGGGACCTGGGTTTGAATCCTACTATGGCAGATAGTGCCATTTGAATTCAATAAATGTCTGGAATTAGAAGTCTGATAATGACAATGAAGCCATTGTTGATTGTCAGGAAAAACTAATGTCGTTTAGAGAAGGCCTTCCTTACCTGATTGGGCCTACATGTAACTCCAGATCCAGAGCAAAGTTGTTGACTCTCAACTGCCCTCTGGGCAATTGGGGATAGGCAATAAATGCTGACCTGGCCAGTGATGTCTTTTATCCTGTGAAAAAAAAATAATTGTGTTGGCTGAGCTGAATCATTTTGAAGTTCTTGAGATAATAATCAGTAATGCATTGGCAATATGTAACATGGTCAGAATATTAAGAATGGTATGTGGGCAACAAACTCACCTGATGATGGGACGGCTCTTGTGTCACAGTGGTGGGATCTCTATCTCTGGGCCAGAATGTTGGGTTCAAATTCCATCTGCCATGTGCATTTCACCAATAACATTCCAGCCTGCCCCACCAGAGGTATAAAACCTGGAGCACAATAGCATTGGAGTTAACCCCTATGTTTGTCAGGACGAATGGCAAAGTGAAGATTGAAGCAGCAACTTGATCAATAAACTGACTACATTTAACTCTGAACTGCTCAGCTATAATCAAGGTAAATTTCAGCCATAGTACTCATCCTGCGTCTAAATTCTAAAATTTGAAAAATTAATTGAAACTTAGAAACAATCTAAAATCAATTTTATAATACTAGAGTAAAAGAACTGGGCCTAGATTTTACCGACAGGAACATCCAAACAAGTTAAATCTATGGAGGCTACAGCTTGAATAGACCTATGTCTTAGGTGGAGTTTTATTTCGACTAGGGAGAGATAGAGTCAAGATCAAGACTTGGCCATGAAAGAGAAAATTAAATTAGTGATCAGGAACTAACATTCTGATCTTTGCCAAATAGAATGGGGGCAGGTAGATTTGAAAATTTAGCTTATCTCATGTGACAGATTTCACCTAATTCAAGGCAGATCGTTAGCTCAGCTGATTTTTGATTTGATTTGATTTAGTATGATCACAAGAACCAAGATACAGTGAAAACTATTGTTTTGCATGCTAACCAGACAAATCATGCCTTACATAAGTATATCGGGGTAATAGAACAGAATGCAGAATAGAGCATTACAGCTACAGAGAAGGTGCAGAGAAAGATCAACTCTAATAGATGTGAAGTCCGTTCATAAGTCTGATAACAGCGGGGAAGAGGCTGTTCTTGAATCTATTGGTAAGTGTTTTCAAACATTTGTATCTTTTGCCCGATGGAAGAGGGTAGAAGCCAGTATAACTAGTGTGGGAGGGGTCTTTGATAATGCTGGCTGCTTTCCCCAGGGCGCGCTAAGTGGAGAAGGTAGTGCAAGTTAAAGCTAACAGAGTGCATTCAATGTCTGTAATGGCTGTGGTAGTTCATGGAACCAACCCACCTCACTCTATCCCATGCTTGTGGAATGGGTACCCTCAAACCAACTGTCTCTGTCTAATGGAGAACAATGCCTATGGTCCTTCGTGGACTATAGCTTTCTAACTACAGTTCAAGCCAAACATAGTTTAACATTTGACGCTACACCAGAGATAATATTCCAAAAGTAATTCATTGACCGTAAAGCACCATGGGATATTCTCAAGTCATGAAAGGTGCTATATTAATGCAATTCTATTTTTCTTGAACATAAGCACTTAACATTCACATTTCCAATAACTGATATGCTCATCAATATTTGAAGTACATACTAGCTACACATATCATCATATTGATTACAGAACAGATTCACTTATCAGGACCTGAGATATCGATACAGGAATCATTGTTACTTCCCTGAAAACCACAAAGCCTGTGTACAGACCTTGAATTAGATTGCACATTTCTTTGGGGATTATCTCCTCTGTTGTATGTGCCCTACAAAGATGACAAGTACAAATGCTGTAGTTTATGGCTTGTGCAAAGAAAGATAATTAAAGCCTCTCTTGGTCATCACAAAATACAGACCAATATGTGCTTATGTTTAATTTAAATACTCACACTGGTGAAGAAACAAAAACAGGAAATAATGAAGAAACAGCAGGTTTGGCTGAACCCCACAACCATACCCCCACCACACCCACAAAGTGTTGCTTAAAAAGCAGGAAAAAAGATGAGTAAAACCCTCCAAAATCCTCTGGGGCAGAAGAGATCTTCACCTACTGGTGACAGGAATTTATGCCTCAGAGGTGCAAATCTTCAGTTATCATGTTCCTGCTGGAATGAGTTTGAGTGAATTTCTAATGCAGAACATTTTTGCATCGTCTTATAGAAACAAGGAAAGGATGAAGAAGTTCAGAATATTCAGAGGACTAAATGGTACAAACCGAAACCATAGGAGTGTCTCTTACAGATGCAGCTCATCAGCATGCCTTCTGGGGTGTAGTTGTATGGAATGTTTTAGCAGTGAAACTGTTAATTGTAGTCTGGATGAATCATCTGTATCTATGTTGTTACCGTTTCCTGTTGATCACGAACTTGGAAAAAATCAAATGCCAAGCTGTGGGTGGCATAGGGAATGGTGAAAATAATATTGTTTAAGTAACATTTCCATTAGTAGATGTAGTTTTGCTCTCATTCTGAATTAGCTTAAAAGGAAGAATGAATAAAGGACCTGGCCAGTTTCTGGGAATCTTATTGTTTTGATTTATAGCTTTCAGATCAGTAATGAAATCTTCAGTTATAACGGCTGCTGGAAATACACAGAAACCTTGAAGTTAAAGAAAATGTTTATGTTGTGACAGGAAAGCTCATCAGTTCATGAACCTGTAATGCAATGAAGTGGGTATTTTTTTGTCTTTAAAGCTCTTTTGCACTGAGTTTTGTCACTTAGAAAACATCAGAAATATACGAAATAGCAATTTTCCATCATGAAAATAAATTCAATTCCAATCTGTGTATCTAATATCCTGCACATGAGGACTCTTGGGAGCACCAGATTAACATTTACCTCTAAAAATAAAACAGCAATAACCAGCATTTATGCAATGCCACTCATATAGTAAAATGTTACTGGCAGTTAACGCAAGCACTGAGCTGCTTCAAGAGGACAATAGACTAAAGTTTATTTAATGAGAAAAGTTAAAGAAGTGTTGTCCTGGAGTAGAGAATGGTGGAATGGTTTAGGGAGAAAATTCCAGAGCTTAGGGACCAGGTAGCTAAAGGTATGGCCATCATTAGTGAAATGTTTGCAATAAGGCATGTGTAAGAGGCTGGAATTGGAGGTACACACAACTGTTTGAGGGTCAGGAGAGTTGAAGAGATTATAGAAATTATGGGGGGTGAGGACAAGGAGGAAGTAAACATGGAGATATTGCTGAAGGAGGAGTTAATACAGGTCACAAAGATGATGTGTGATTAAGACTTTTAGAATAAGCTAGCCGATCTTTGGCTGCTTTCATGGTCTGGATCTTTCTCTGCGTCTACCCACACTGTATCTCCTCTCTTGGGTTATTTCGAAGAGCAGCAGGTGAATACTACCTGGTATCCTGGCCAACATTCATCCCTCAGAGATCATCATGAAAACAGTTGATGTGATAACGATCACATTGCTGTTTATGGGATCTTGCTGTGCACACAATGTTTGTTACATTCTCTCTGGTATAGAGCATCCTAGAGAGGGAGAAAATCTAACCAACAAGACACAATTTGTGATTCCATGTTCCAGCAATATCTGGGTGATTATCCTTTAGAGTGCGACCCTCCGCAGAGCTGATTAAAAAATAGTTTATTGAGAATTAGACTATTATTTTATTTTAAACTATTATGGGTTTGATTTGAAATGACTTAATTCAGTATCTAACACAGATCATCAAGGAGCTTTGAATGTGTTGTCCTTTAATTGATGGATGAGGCTGCCACGTGTTTGCATAGTGATCTGGGTAATATTGTTGAGTATATTGCCGTCGGCAGAATTTATGTGTTTATGTGTAAGTCAGCAGCAAGTTATTCTGAGTTTAAAACTAAACTGAAGAGAGTCAAAATCCTTGAACCTCCTACATAACTGCATTACGTATGTACCTACAACAAACAGACTGTAGTGTTTCAAGAAGGCAGCTCTGCACCTTCCTCTCAAGGGCAACTAAGGATGGGTAAAAGATACTGGCCTAGCCAGCAATGCCATATCTCATGAATGAATAAGACAACACATTTACCCAAGATTTTGTCCGTCATCATGCACTCAGTCCTATATGTGCACCCACACAAAAGGAGTGGGTACCAACATAGATGAGTTTTAACCATCTCCAGTCTCCCATGTGGCAGGTTTATGGTTCTATGAATGGAACAAATAACTTAAAGACGATGTGAGGATCTTGTGAAGTGATAAGTTCACATCTGCTTGTGAAGTCTGAACATCTGGTAGGTTGTTTCTCTGATGAACTTGGAGGTTGGAACAGATTAAGCACTTTAGCAGTTTGAATTCTTATCACTAACACGTGAGGATTCACAGATTGGCTGAATCGGTAGTTCCGATGATGCTGTTGGATCAGTTTGCAAGTCTCTCTTACCTGATTTTTGAACAGACAAAGTAAACTTGGCCATATCACCAAGCAACTTTTCACAAACTCAAGGTCTGATCTGAAAGAGTTTTGTCCATGTTGTTTCCATATCCTGTGCTGTGGGCTAATACTTCTGAGGCCTATCTGGCCTAGATATGCCAAAGAAGGTCATCATGGTACAATGGCAATTTGTTCTGGTGAGAAAAGAGATGATGATCACAATTCTCAAATGGTTTTTATACATGAGCACACACATTGGCGAGAAGAGACTGTATCGGGTTTTGTGCAGGGTAATCAGAGTCTGTGCTGTAAAGTCAGTGAAAATTACTTGTGCTAGATTTCTGGGCAACAGAATAATCAGGATTGTGGACAAATCCAGTATGAATCCAGATCCAATCAGATCAATACCACCAGCAGATCTTGAACCAGTTTCATACTGGTCCATATGGGTTTTTCCCTTTGGATACATAAACAGACTGATACACGCTGAGAAGGAGATTGGCATGCACATTGTAACCAATTCTCACACTCACACAATTATAAACAGAGGCAGACAGACAGACAGACACACACAATAACACACAATCATAGATGCACACATAGGGAAGCACACGCAAACAATCATAGATAGACACTCAATAACACAATCATAGGCAAACACACACACAGTAACACACAACCGTAGACACACAAATACACGCACACTATTGTAGACATACGTACACATATACAGACAGACAGACATACAAGCAGGCACACTATCATAGACAAACAAACACACATGTCTACACATGCACACAGGCAGACCCATGAGAATTGTCTAGATGCAACACTGCCACTTACAAATTGTCCTTTAAGTCACAGGCTATCTTAACTTAGAAACGTATTGGTGTTTCTTCATTGTTGTTGGTTCAAAGTGCAGGAACTGTCTCTATTCAGCACTGAGATTACGGTTATACCATATGGACTGCAGTGGTTCAGAAAGACAATTCACCACCACCTTCTCCAGGGCTGATACAGATCAGTCAGAATTGCTGGCTGAGCTTGCAACACCCACATTCCATGAAAGAGTTTAAAGAAATCACCACAGACAAACACACCCAAATATCTATACATAGCTGGAACAGAATAACTTCATGACATCTTGTGGAATAATGAAATAACAAATCCAGTTCCCATTTTGCCCTTTATAGCCCACACATTATAAAAGTTAAGTGTTCCAGGTTGCTGCTTGATTTTGTGAAGTGAAATTGGATACGTGGTAATCTTTTCTGACTTTGCCACATTTGCTGGCATTTGCTTCAAGTGTTTGTAGCTGCCAGTGCCCATTTGTCAACATGAGCTTTATTTACCAGCTGAAAATGGCACTGCAGCTGTACCATGTTTTGTTTTCAAGTAACTCCAAATGGATTGGTGATTAATGTTTTGATATTTATTCTGAAATTAGGATGAACCAGAAGGCTTGATTAAAGTGCAGGTTCATCACTTCTTATATTTTCAGATCTTTGGAATCATTTGATAGTTTTTATGTATGTATTCAACTATTATATCCAAGTGTACAGATGGAACAAATATCTACAGCTTAAATGCTAAACCACACTTCTGTCTACTCCTATGAACACAAAAAAATCCAATTGCATTCTTATGAAGAGCAGTGCCCTGGGTAAAATGTATCCCTTAACTAACAACGCTGAAAAGCAGATTATCTTGTCATTGTCACATTGCTGTGTTTTGAGCTTGCTGTGTGCAACTTAGAGTTATAGAGATGTACAGCACAGAAACTGACCCTTTGGCCTCACTCATCCATGCTGACCAGGTATCCTAAATAAATCTAGTCCCATTAGTCAGCATTTGGCCTTTATCCCTCTAAACCCTTCCTATTCATATGCCCACCCAGATGCCTTTTAAATGTTATAACTGGACCAACCTCCACCATTTCCTCTGGCAGCTCATTCTATACATGCACTACCCTCTGCGTGACCATGTCTCTGTAATTGCTATGATATCCCAGTCCAATGCTCCCAACCATGCCCTGAGTTCATCTACCTTACCTGTTAGGCCTCTTGCATTGAAATATATGAAGTTTAATTGATCAGTCCTACCTCGTTCTCTACTTTGTTCCTGCCTGCCCTGACTGTTTGACTTGCTCCTTTTCCAACCGTACCAGTGTCAGACTGATCTCTTTCCTCACTATATCCAGGGAACTGGGTTCAATTCCAGCCTCAGGCAACTGTCTGTGTGGAGTTTGCATATTCTCCCCGAGTCTGTGTCGGTTTCCTCTCAACATCCAAAGATGCAAAGGTTACTTGGATTGGCCATGCTAAATTGTTGTAGTGTCCAGGGATGTGAAGGCTAGACGGATTAGGCTTAGGAAATGTGGGGTTACTGGAATAGGGTGGGATGCTCTTTGGAAGGTTGGTGCAGGCTGAATGGCCTGCTTCCATACTGTAGGGATTCTATATGTTTAGCTCTCACACACTGTACACTTTCATGAAAGGTACCTCAGAACGTGCTCTGCATGTTTGTGAGTTTTGGTGTATATTACCGCATGATTTGTAATGTAAAAATCTCTTAAATTAAACCAAATCATGCTGTTGTACAGCAACCCTGGCTTAAATGGTATACATTAACAAATAAACGAAAACGTATGAAATGAGACCATGACAACTCCATAAACCAAAACTTGTGAAATTATCTTTGATGTAAAATTTCTGTGCATTCCTCGTTGTTAATGTTTAATTTTAGCAGTGAGCTTTTTTCTTCTTTGTAATTGTATATCTTGCGTAATTTTGTTTTCTTTTTAATGATGATCTCAAAGAGAGAATCCACAAAGTTCAGCTTGAACTTGGCCATCGCGTTATTCACCATCCCCACCATG